ATCTAAGGCCGGAATCGAACCCGTGAGCGTCGTCTCAGCAAGTGAGCAACGCAACCATTATTACATCGAGGCGAAGAACCATCCGAAATACCGTAATATTAATGGCAGTCACGGTGTCTCATGAAGGAAGAATTTCGTGCTCGCTTGCCCGGCGACATATCGGCTGGGACAGTGCAGAGTGTGTATGTATAACGCGTGGGTTAAACTGCCGAGAACGGCGCCGTAAGTGAAATATTTGAACGACTGAGGGTTTGCTAGCCACTCCGAGCTTCGAGCGGTGTACCCTGGAAGTGGGCACAGCGCAAGCCGGTCGAAGTGGGCGCACCAATGGGCTCTTAATTTATTTACCCGTGAGCGCGAGCCAAGTATATATAGTGCGAATTTTAGCTCAGCGGGAAGGCCTCACCAACGCCTATACTGGGTGGTGGCGATGTTGGCATGGCTCGAAGAGCAGAGTTTGCTCGTCTCAGTAGCGGTGGCGGCGGCCTCGTAATCGGTGCCGCATTCTGCGAAGCACATATATGCGCGGACCGAGGAAGAAGGAGTGGCGGCGCGCCTTGCTTGTTCGAAACGCCACGGCCAGCCTTTCGAGGCCGCGTCGCCGAATGCGCATACGCACCATCGAAGGAAAAAAGTAAAAAGAGAAAGGGAGCTTGAATACAACCGCGATGCGAAGACATCGGCATACGAGTGTTCCCAAAGTTGAGTGCAGTACATGTCCACCATCAATACGCGGATGAAGTTCGATGAAATTATATCTGAGGTGGTTGTAGGGTTGTCGTTCTTCAGACCAACGTTGCGGCACTTGCACAATTTTAAATTTCATCCCAACCATCACGGCACAGCTTCGCGTGGAACATCCTTCGAAGATTGGGGTCAGGTTGCCGCATCCACTGTGCTCGCCGACTTACGAAGCCATGAATACGCTTTTGCAGTTCTTGAGCAACGTAAACTAAGCTAGGCTGCTAAGAGCGTTCGAAGCTGTATCTTCCAAAGAACAACCTGGAGTCGCCTCCTCACACGATTTCTTAGGAACACTAACTCTATACAAATAGTCCAATCTCTTCTAAAGTGTAAACAGTGGGACGCCTACCCGGCACGTGACGAATCTTTTTCGCCACGTAACTCCCAGCTTCCGGTCGATCCGCCGGGATGGAAGGCGACCGTCCAGTACATCCCAGTGTTGAGAGTCTGTAGCAGCTTGTGACAGCACCCTCACTCGGCCTCCGAACGGCCGAGGTCGCGTGTTGTCGTCCCACCGGCAACTAGATTCGAACTCTGGTGAGAATCTGGAGAATGCATTCGGAACGCACCTACCAGATACTGACGATCTCATCAGGGTTTGGACCCCTCTGCCTCCCAGGGTGTGACTTAGTGGTTCGAGCCACACGGTCACAACCTTGGTAATGTTAGTAAGGTTAAGGCGTATCTATATGTTTTCTGTTAACTGTTAGATTTTCTACATGAAGTGAACAGCATGTGTATTCGTAACAGCGCGTTGTACTCTGCCCGAGGGTACGTTTAGCATCGCTCCACTCATTTACGACATATGAATAAGTTTTGCATTAAATAGGTGAGTGATTCAATCCGCATATATCGCCGACCAAGTCTGGGCTGTCCAGCAGGCCCGTGAAGCGGCAGAGACGCAAGTTCTTGACGTCCCGACAAGACCTGAGCCCGGGCGTCTAATCTTCCAGACAATTAATAATGTCTCAGAGGCGTAGTTCCTTAGGGTGTGGGTTGTTCCCTGTAGTAATAGTATGTTGTAGTAGTAGTCACTTCTAATTAGTTTTAAGAATTGCTCAATGGATGGCGTTGTGTGTATGTCCTCGGATATATCACTAGATGGCGTTAGTGATTTTTGCATAAGATATTCGCAGCACATCCGCGGAGTGAATGAGGAGGGCAGCGAAGCGTCCACCCGTCCGTCCATTCGATGCGGGCTCTAGTGTGATAGGAGCGGACGGACGGACGGATGGGCGGACGGACGGACGGACGGACGGACAGACAGACAGACAGACAGACAGACAGACAGACAGACAGACAGACAGACAGACAGACAGACAGACAGACAGACAGACAGACAGACAGACAGACAGACAGGCGTACGTACGTACAGACGTACGTACGTACATACGTACGTACAGACGTACGTACAGACGTACGTACAGACAGACAGACAGAAAGACAGACAGACAGACAGACAGACAGACAGACAGACAGACAGACAGACAGACAGACAGACAGACAGACAGACAGACAGACAGACAGACAGACGTTTGCCCCACTCATCATCCAGTCCATGGATATGCTGTGAATTTTTTTCCCCATCCATCCATTGATGAATGAGTGCCTCATGCGATCGCTCTTGTTTCGGTATGTCATTTTTGAAAGGCCTACAGACTTTGGCGAAATACCCGCTACGCATCTATAAAGCAATACGCGCACCTCCGTAGCCGTACGGTTCGTTAATACTGCGGCTGATGTTACGCCTTTGATGATGATGTTCAGCCTTTCGCAATAGATCGAAAGCACCATAGAGCTCACTCTTCGCTCCACTGAAAACTCTGACGGAAGGTGTGATTTTACGCTCCTGCTATGTGATGCTACGCTTACGTTTGAACATCGTATACTTGAAAGACGTGGCGACTGTATTGGGTCTTTTTCCGAAAACGCTTCAAGCAATGGCATGCATATGTGGTAGATCACGTAACTACCACGCAGAATATCAAGAGTTCGATACAGGCGCGAAACATGCTTTTTAACCCATTTTCAAGAGTTCACGTGAGTTTTTGTACCACAGCCCATATACGTAAGCGTCTCACGGGCCACTTAAGGCTATCGTCTCAAAATTGCACACCACCCAAGGAACACCAAAACGCGACGGAATGTCCATACTAAAATAAAGAAAGAAATTTTCCCCTTTAAGGAGCTTGTTGCTTTGTTCTACACAATCAAACAAGTCCAAATTAGGCCAAGGAAAGCGTAGGTCGCCATTATTGTTGTCTAACTTCAGTGCAGTGGTCATATGGATTAAAGTGGAACACAAGATCACCGTTTATTTTGGTGGAATACGAACGCACAACCTTCGAATTATACGCCCGATGATCTACCGAGTGATCCACAACGGAAGGCGATTGCCTGTCCACTATAGTTTCGTTGCACCTGTACGCGCAATCCGTGGGTGTGTGGCCAGCCGAAACCCCGGGTACGGAACCATGCGTCCATGGTGGAAGTTCCGCGGGACACTTTCTGGCAGAGTGTGCAATGTGGCACGGACAAAGCTCCAACCACACGCACGCATTGGAACACGCCAGCAAGCGAGTGTCAAGGAAAGCCGAAGAGGTCGGAGCGAGACGTCTACACGCCACGCGCTGCCGCGTAATAACGCGTACGCGTGTGGTTAGGGCTCACGAAATACGGCAGTCTGAGCAAGATATCTATGCAGAGGAATACATGATGTTTGGGTGCGCGTGACAAAACAAACGGACTCGTTGGAGAGACCTTCGGATTATAGACTCTCTCGACAGGCTGACTCTCACGATGACAGACTCGAATGAAGACGGTGGTTAAAAGAACACCCAAATCGGAGTCATCCGCCGTGCGTCGTGATGCACGGAACTGCGCCACGGGCATCCTTGAGGCCCCACACAAGGAGGCCACGCGCGTCGCCCAAGCGGAGCTAGCCGTACGTCGACCCGAGTGACTGACAAGTGCGTGCATGCACGGACCACCGCTGCGACGTTGGCGCCGCCTTTGAAGCGGTCTGCCCTGACAACGAGGAACCTCACGACAAGCGTGTGTGCCATGGAGAGAGTTCTGACAGCACCGACCCTTTTCGCTCCCATTCCTCCTGAACGATGGCTGCGCGAGGTTTCTTCGGCTGGCTGCTCATACGCTGTCACGGCGACGTCCCAAACTGCCGAGACACACGAGTGAGGGGAGGCCAACTAAGCAACAAGACATAGAGAATGTATAATATATATATATACTATATAGAAAGGGGCGTCAAACACGCGGACCTCTCGCCAGAGATCAGCAATGTTCACGACTCTTCTCGTCCTTTTTTTCTTTTTTTTTTCAATAAACACGCTGCACAGACGTGACTGGTGTAAGCCGTTTCTTTCGTGAGATACTCCATGCGGTCACCATGTGTTAGAATACAATCACAGAACAAAAACCACATTTCAGAACCGTCACCCACATTAACCTAGTAAGAAAATCTGTATCTATATTCGTTTCTCGAAAACAGACGTCAAGTATATATATTCTGCGGAATTAGTGAACCATGTGTGAGGTAAAGGAAGGCCTTCTTCGAAATCGCAACGTTAGCAGACATTTCGTTCATACTATCTCGTCCATATCATGGAGCTTCCGAAAGGCTAAATTACGTGACTGCTACCCGCTAGCCGAGTTTGAAAGCCCTGCTTCTTCAAGACCACCAGGCTTCACGAGCGCTTGTGAAGGAACAGCGCGAGACTACGCACGCTGTGTAGTCTCTAGCTGACTATTTTGCCATCTCTTTCTCATACTCATTTTCTTTTCTATCTCTTTCCTTTCTATTATTCCCCATTTCCTTTACCCCAACTACGTATATGAGTAGCCAACCGATCGAAGCTTCGTTAACCTCCCTGCCTTTCCTCTCTCCCTCTTTCACTCTCCTTCTACATACGATTGTATGGACAGTCACTCCTAGCACGTCGAGTAACCACAAGGTCCCGCTTAAGAGCATATACACCCCTATGACACTCACATTCAGCAATTACTCCTTATTGGGCAAAGGACAAGACGTAAGCAGCAACACAGAACACACTACGCCTTGTGCATGCATTTATGCTCTCATTCACAAAGAAATGTTGAACCTATGAACAGTCTAGCCTGACATGATGTCTTAAGTTTCATCCCACTATAAGATATCGTTATGAACTTGCATACAGCGCGCATGCGCGCGAGCTGTAAGCAGCACTTCGATGGTGCAAAACAAAGCGGCTTTGACTCACCTTCGGAACTCTATTCTAACCAAAGCACTTGCACGTACACTTTCCAGCCTGGAAAGAAACGAAAGAGAACATGGTCATCAATGAGACTAGGCCGATGCAATTAGTAACAGTAACGGCTTTTACGGTGTATTGTTTTTCATTGTTTAAGAAACGGCTAGCCATTTGCATGAGACCAAATATACATAATTCTGTTCTCGTGTAAGGTTTCTCCACAGTGACCCACTTAATGACCGAGAAACCGGCACGTTGAGTGAATATAGCAGACATCATTGACGACTTGACCGACTAAATGACAGATTGAATAATAAACTGACGAACCAAGAGACAAACTAATTAGTAACTGAATAACTGACTGATTGCTTAATACGTTGACCACGACATTGATAAATTACCCGACTTCCTCGATTCACTGATTGACCGATCAGTTTACTGATTGATTGATTGATTGATTGCCTGACTGACCGACTGATTGATACAACGAACATATGGAGTTAGGACTGCAATGATCGTGCACGGGCTACGAATGCCGCGTGCCCGAAGTCGCAGTTAGCCAGGGGAGAGCAGGATTCCACGACGCAGCGGTCGCGTAGTAGTACGATTGGCGCGGCTCTTAAAGAGAATCATGCGTGCGCCAAAGCTCCCGACAAACGCGCTCGATGCACGGCGGTAAACAACACCGTTTCTCACGTCAGATGACGCGAGCATTGACGGCTGGCACGATTTCACCATACACACGCTGCGGCGCCCGTACGTAGACCGTACGACCCAAGGACGTTTCTCGGACAAGGAAAGTGGCGCACTCTTGACGGTGCGGTCCCTCCGCGCGGCGCTGGACGGGATGCAGTGAAGAAACGGCGCGATACATTGTCTGCGTGGCAAAGCCACTCGATGCTATTGCATACTATACACGTACTCTACGTCGTTTGGTTAAACATCCTTGCAAACTAATTACCATTGTAGATGCCCGTTTTCAGTATTTATGGTCAATAAACTTCATGCACGTGTCGAGGGCAAACGTGTATTAAGGCTGCTCCTAGCTGTTAGATTTGCATCCTCGTATCTACGTTTTCTATATATGAACTCAATGAGGCCCTATGAAAGACCCCAATGGCGTTATGCAGAGAAGTAGACAATACCTAGGTATTTTTAAAGTCCAGCTATTGCAAACAATATCAAAGAAAACAATGAGGAGGATCAGGAATCAGTGAATAAGCAAATCAGACGAACAATAGACGTTCATGACAAGATATCCAGACTGTCTTTAGTTATTGATCACACGGCTTATGTTCATCAACGGTATGTCTTAAAGAAAAAAATTTCTAACGGAAATCTTCCAGTATTTTAAAAATATTGTACGTCACTCCTAAAACGTATAGCAAACCGGCCAGTTTACATCAGTAAAGACACCCCGGAATGACACGCAAGGGTTAGCGCGGGCAAAAGTTTTGCTGCAAAATACCAAGATATTGAACATGAAAGTTAACGGGAGTTGCCAGGTCCGCGCCAAGTTTTCGCGGAATTTACCTCAATTTTTCATAACAGGGTGCATTATAAGCAACCAGAACCAAGCAGTCTTTCTTTTTCGAATAAGTCGATAATCATTCAAATTTCTTTGCGATTCTTCGTCTTGTCTGTGAAGACCCCACCACCAGCTAATTAATCTTTTAGAGCCATATTTAACATGAAAGACTTCCCGCGATGTTTGAACCGAGAAGAAACAATTAATGAAATAATTAATTATTACTTAATTATTTAACTAATTGATATGTGGGGTTTCACGTCCCAAAACTACCATATAAATTATGATAGACGCCATAGTGAAGGTCTCCGAACCTGGGGTTCTTTGACGTGCACCCAAATCTGAGCACACGGGCCTACAACATTTCCGCCTCCATCGAAAATGCAGCCGCCGCAGCCGGGATTCGATCCCGCGACCTGCGGCGGGTCAGCAGCCCAGTACCTTAGCCACTAGACCACCACGGCTGGGTGGTTTCGTGGCTCCTTTGATGCTTGCAGACTCACACCATCCACTAACAGAAAGCAAGCCTTTGGTCCATTCCCGTATATGAGAACGCATTCGCGACAAACTTTTTCAGCCATTAGGGTGATCGTTAGATGGGGATATTGGGTACCTGTATCGTGGTTCAGTGGAAGGATCAGAAAAGCAATCTTCGAGCACATCACCAACAAAGTATTATGCGCATAAGTTGGGTATCTAACGCTTCCGGAGAACGTGCTTTCGCTTACAGTTCTTAAATTTAGAAAGACAAAAGGGTATACGCCTCTCGTGCTTCCGCATACCTCTTCCAGACGAAACGCCTTCAAGCCACAAGTCAGTGACCGCAGTGGGTGCGTGGTTGTAGGTTAGTGATAAGTGTGCGGCACTTCCCCGAGGACCAGCGACTCTTCGTCACACACCGTCGGGCATGCGTGCCACTGTTGCGAAAGACTGCCACCGGCGTTCAGCATGGGCGGACATCCGGGCACCTTCGTAAGAACGGACGACTCGTCCGATATACGTAACGACGAACCTCTTTCGTCATCCGCAAGGACGACTACTGCAGTGCCGGGTCAACCGCATCACGTTTAGCTATGGTCACGTCTTCATCGCGTACTTCGTCGCATGACCTCCGTTCCTCTCTCTCCGACCGTAAGACGCGCCTCTGTACGACAAACCATGCTTGCACACGCGCGTTGCCCGTCACACGTGGCGTAGCACGTGCCGTCGACCCAGGCTCCTTGCCCCCAACTCGAGACCCGCCTGCTCGCTGGCCTCGTTCGGAAAAGGCAGGGTGGCGGATGGCTCCATCGAAACGCGACGGGCCACGTCTGTAGAGAGGCAGAGGAAGGAAGCTCGCCGCCACACACACGTTCCACCCATGCGCTTCGCACGCAAATAGTTATAGCCCCGTATATACGATGCGTACAAACGGAATAACACTTTTCTAGAGCGGTGGAGCACGTGGCTGCGGAAGCTGCTTTTGTGCGCAGCTGCTACCTCACGTTAGCTACACGCTTCCATTGATGCTCGATTTATTGGGGCCTAGCAAGCAGTGTAACTATGTTTGGTAACTAGATGATCGGTTTTTGCCTGAACAACAGATTTTGGGTCATTGGCCGAGCCCATCCTCAGCCCAGAAGGCTTTGCAAGTTTTATTACGTTTTTTTTTTTTTTTTTGCGGACAACTGGCTTTAGGGACAGACAGTGTCGTATTTTCTTTATTTTGCTTTTCCTCTAGTTATATTTTGTGTTTCTCTCTCTCTCTCTCTCTCTCTCTCTCTCTCTCTCTGTAACAACTCTTTTCTGTAATCTTTTGCTCCCATTCCCCAGCACAGGGTAGCCAGCCGGTCTAAGAACTGGCTAACGTCCCTGTCCTTCCGCACATTTCTTTCCTCATTTCCTTTGGTAACATTAAACGGCATCGGTTCCTGCCCATTTTTGCAGGAAATGGTAGCTGATGCTGCCGGCATGGTGCTCTAGACAAGTGTGATTCCATCTGCACTGCTTCGGATGATCGAACACGCATCGCGCAGCAAAGAGACAGAGCGGAGGTCGAAGCACACATTGTAGGAGACTTTACACGATCACGTACAGCGCATTCATTGGCCATGGTTTACATATCTCGAGACAACCGAGTTCTCTTGCAGCACAACCACGCAAGTCATCTGCATCTATAGAGGACATTGTGGCCGCCGTATTAAAGCCAGTGCATGGTTTAGGCGTTCCAAAAGATTTGTGCGTAATGAGCAAGGTTTAGCGCTGAGCGAGCATATAAACAGGCACGCATCTGTCACTGTTCAGCTGCACCTGTTGTCACCTGACCTCCGTCCTTACTCTTGAAGAGGCTGCCTTGGCAGCACTTGTGCAAGACATTCACGATACCGCGATGCCACCGGTGCAGTTGCTACCTCTCACAAGCGCCTCCTATAGCTACTTGGAATGGTACCAAGGGCGCTAAAGCTTCCTCGAATGTCAGACAGCTCGCGAATATCCAGCATGCAACGACGCGCATTGGCTGCGAGTCCTCGGTGTCGATCGATCACTACAGAGGGCTATCTCTTTCAGTTATCCGCGGTACGACGAGGTGGCTATTGCGCAGGTGAACTGGAGGTTGCTTGATCACGAATCCCAGCTGCGGAGGACGCCTTCGCAAGGGTGCGCGGATTGCAAAAAAAAAAATGTGCGTGTACTTTGATTTACGGAGCACGTCCAAGCGCCCTCGTGAAGGTGGTCGAATCAATTTCGAGTCAGCCCTTATACCGATACCGCCTACCACGTGTATCAATGCGTTGGCAACTCGCGAGCGTTTACTATAACGTGGAAACAGCCCGTGGTGCGCGAGTCTTTTGTTTCCTGCGACACACTCGAACATGTTATGATATATTTTTTTTTCGAAGCATATTCATACAATAAAGAAACGCAGCCCACTTGGTCTAAGGTGCATGGACCTCGACGATAGTTTATGGGTGAGTCTGCTTCTCGAAGCGGGCTACAGTCTCGTTAGTTGGCTTCATGAAACGAATTCACGTATGTTGTGTGCATGGGGCAATATTTAGTGTCATTACTTCTTCGTCTTTGTGGACCGCCGTCTGAATATTTGTTCCCTGTTTACTTCGCTTTCACCAGCTTTTTATTTTTTCAAGCTTCCTCTCTTTAAAGGGACACAAAAAAAAGAAAATAGATTTTTTCTCGTGAAGTCGAACCCAGTTATAACAATATTCAAGCGCCGTGAAAATTCCGTTGTTATAACCAGTAATTGTTATAAGCGGGTTGCAAGTAAAATAATGGCAAGGTGTTGTGGGAAAAGTAAAATATCGCGTGAGATATGCCGCCAGTGATAAGGATACCAAGGCTGCCAGTTCTTCGGACATGCTTCAAATTTCTGGCGCTTTCACGGGAACGCCACAAGCCTCATAGAGCCAATTTATGACAGCATCCGAAGTTTTGGATGCTTAAGTACATCCAAGTAACAACTTTTTACTCAAATTATGAAACTACAGCAACAGATACTACCGCCACTCACGCATTATAGCACATTTTGAAAGTT